AAACAAGGGAACTTTCTCCAAACGAGCATCACTCTTGGCGATATATCGATACAGCAGTCCATGATACCGATACCGTATCATCAAATTAAACGATACGATGTGTCAATACTTCAATATTTTTGCATAACCCTACTGTGGAGCATTCCAGGCAAAGCAACAACATCTACACGGAAACAAGCAGATAAAAAACGCCCCTCCAGAAAAGTTACATATGCACTTTTAACATGTTCTTACTCCTCCATTCACTAGTGGGTTGACAATGTAGGTTACAGTCAGACTAGTGCCAGTAAAACTCTACCTATAAATAATCATATGAATTATCCAATACCTCCTCCTACTGTTTCTTCTCTGTTCAAACATGACAAATTCCTGCTTTTTCTGTTTGCAATGAGGTCGGTAAAGTCATCACTGAAAACAGCCCTGGTCATGCACTCACACTTTACACACTCTACACAAAGAAGGAATCTGAAGGGCCACCAAAGACCACCCTGGGTAGAGCGAAAAACTCTCCTCTTGTCTCCCTTCATTCATTCTGAGTGTCTCCACAGATCCCGACCAGTCTCTCGCTTGTCTACATGGAGATAGACGGGTTTAATGCCACACTGTGAAACATTACAGACAAATACAACTTCATGTTTTTCTCTTACGCTCAGATTTACTTCACACAAAGAAGGAATCTGAGGACCACAAAAAAAGTTGGAGTTGACCATATTCTCTCCCTTCTTTAATTCTTAGTATCTGCCCAGTTCCTTGTTCGTCTCCATGGAGATAGATGGGTTTAATGCCACACTGTGAAACATTACAGACAAATACAGCTTCATGTTTTCCTCTTACTCTTAGATTTACTCACACTTTACACACTCCACACAAAGAAGGAATTGGAGTTTGAGTTGATCACCAAAACACTCTCTTCTCTCCCTTCTTTAATTCTTAGTATCTGACCAGTTCCTTGTTTGTTTCCATGGAGATAGACGGGTTTAATGCCACACTGTGAAACATTACAGACAAATACAACTTCACATTTTCTTAGATTTACTCACTTTACACACGCCACACAAAGAAAGAATCTGAGGACCACAAAAAAACGTTGGAGTTGACCACCAAAACACCCTTCTTTAATAACTTGTTTGTCTCCATGGAGATAGATGGGTTTAATGCCCTACTATGAAACATTACATGCAAATACAACTTCATGTTTTCCTCTTACTCATAGATTTACTCACACTTTACACGCTCCACACAAAGAAGGAATTGGAGTTTGAGTTGATCACCAAAACACTCTCTTCTCTCCCTTCTTTAATTCTTAGTATCTAGCCAGTACCTTGTTCGTCTCCATGGAGATAGATGGGTTTAATGCCACACTGTGAAACATTACAGACAAATACAACTTCATGTTTTCCTCTTACTCTTAGATTTACTTCACACAAAGAAGGAATCTGAGGACCACAAAAAAAGTTGGAGTTGACCATCTCCTCTCCCTTCTTTAATTCTTAGTATCTGCCCAGTTCCTTGTTCGTCTCCATGGAGATAGATGGGTTTAATGCCACACTGTGAAACATTACAGACAAATACAACTTCAGGTTTTTTTTAGATTTACTCACACTTTACACATGCCACACAAAGAAGGAATCTGATGACCACAAAAAGTTGGAGTTGATGACCAAAACACCCTTCTTTAATTCCTTGCTTGTCTCCATGGAGATAGACAGGTTTAATGCCACACTGTGACACATTACAGACAGGCACAGTCAAACTTAAACATCTCTTCCTCTTACTCTTAGATTTACTAGTGCAGTGTAGATTATTTAAAAAAATGGTATGAGTAAAAATAAATGATAATAAATAAATAATACCTTATTCTACTGTATCATCTGTGTTCAAACTTGACAAATATTCGCTCTTTCTATTTGCAATGAGGCCAATAAAGTCATCTCTGAACACAGCCCTGGTCGTGCACTCACACTTTACACACTCTGCACAAAGAAGGAATCTGAAGGCCACTAAAAAAAAAAACCCCTTTCGGAGTTAACCGTGCTGGGCCTCTCCTAAAAACGTGCAATGACCCTTCTCTCCCTTTTCTTCTTGGTTTGTTTGAGGAGCGCGGCGGTGAATTCCTGCGCTGACAAACACATGGTGACGGAGCAGAGGAGCAGGCCCCTCTCCACACACAGGAGGCTGAGAGAGGAATGTGCAGTGGAGGTAGGAGCCGCCGAAGGGAGGCCAGGACAAAGCTGCTTTTATCTGACCCACTCCGAATAACAAGCAATAAAAGTCAAGATGGTGTTTTATCATCTTATGCTAAGTACTATTCCGAATGGTTAAAAGGGCACTGTGGAACTTTCCTGGTGTTGGTGTTGGCCGTTTGTTTCTGGTTTCCATGGAGGTGTTATGGCTTTGACTAGAATGAGCGACAGAATGGCATTAATCTGATTTATCTTACAAGTTACAGGTCAGATCTGTGGAGAGACAGACCTTGTGCTAAGTTATCTGATCCACTACGAATAACAAGTAATAAAAAAATCAAGCTGGTGTTTTATAATCTTATGCAAAGTACTATTCTGAATGGTTAAAGGGGCACTCTGGAACTTTTCTGGCTGAATGTCAGTCAACGGCAGTAGCTCAGTTGGTAGAGCAGTCGCCCACTGATCTGAGGGTTGGCAATTCGATTCCAGCTCCCGACATAAACATCACAGGTTGAGCGGTCAGATCCACTGACCCACAGGTTGGCTGGTGTGATTCCAGCTCCCACAGATGAATGCTGTCGTTGTGTCCTTGGGCAAGACACTTAACCTACCTTCCCCACAGTGTCTGCGTACACTGGTGTGTGAATGTGTGTGTGAATGGGTGACTGGTTCCTTGTTGTAAAGCGCTTTGAGTGCCTTGAAGGTGGAAAAGCGCTATAGAAAAATGTGACCATTTAGCATGTATTTCTTGTCTCCATGGAGATGTTATTGCTTTGACTAGAATGTTGCACAGTCTGGCATTACACTTGTTATTTTTATTTATTTATTTATTGCTCATGTTATTATTTTGTTGGCATCAGCTTAAAGAGAACAACAAAAATAAGAAAATCAACATAAATACACATTTCTATGATTATTTGCCTTGTCTTTGCTGCATGAACAAAAGGAACAGAAAGAAGAGAAATCTTATAAACCCTGCTCCTTTCACAAATCAAAAAATTAAACAGCTTGTCTATATCCATGAATCCAAGAAATTGGCAACACCAGACCAAGTACTACAACTAAAGTTTAAAGCTGAATATGGTAACTTTTATCCTGAGGTGGTAGCCATTTGTCTCTTGTCTCCATGTTATTGCGCTGACTAGAAAGTTCCACAGCATGGCATTAAACTTACGTCTTCATAGAGACAAGCTGCTGGTACCAAACAGACCAAGTCACAGGTCAGATCTGTTGAAAGGCGAGCACGTTCATGCAGTAGAAATGCAGGTTTACCAAAGTAATAACTGTTGGCAATGATGAAAAAACCTGCATAGGCTCATGATATCTGCAGTACTGTCCTATAGTGACCTGAGTCATGAGGGACCAGGACTGAACCAGGACTGAACCAGGGGGATTAAACCAGGTCTAAACCAGAACTGAACTAAAACCACAGGAGAAAGAACCGGCACAGAGCTCCACGGGGGTAAGCGCAGCCGTCCCCAATCGCGTTTTGTGGACACCCTGCTCCAAGGGCTCGGGGTTCTCTCTCTCACTCTCAAGTCCAAGATTAGTCCTGGTTTAGACCTGCTTTAGTCCTGGTTTAGACCTGGTGTAGTCCTGGTTTAGTCCTGGTGTAGTACTGGTTTAGTCATTGTTTAGTCCTCCTGGTTTAGACCTGGTTTAGTCCTGATTCAGTCCTGGTTTAGTCCTGGTTCAGTTCTGGTTCAGTCTTGGTTTAGTCCTGGTTTGCTCCTGGTTCAGTTCTGGTATAGTCCTGGTTTAGTCCTGGTTCAGTCCTGGTTCAGTCCTGGTTCAGTCCTGATTCAGTCCTGGTTTAGTCCTGGTTCAGTCCTGGCTCAGTCCTGGTTCAGTTTTGGTTTAGTCCTTGTTCAGTCCTGGTTCAGTCTTGGTTTAGACGTGGTTTAGTCCTGTTCAGTCCTGGTTCAGTCCTGGTTTAGACCTCTTTTAGTCCTGGTTCAGTCATGGTTCAGGTCTGGTTCAGTCACAACTTCAGACGACAATATGAAGCCAAATCTAACCTATATTTTTAACTTAAAAACCTGAAATTTGGGGTAATTATCCGAGTTAATAACGCATACAATGTCTGTCTCATCCATTTTAAACGTCTGTCGGTGATTTATAAAGATTTATAGAGGTATTTTAATATTGGCCTTCTATCTGCCCTTATTTTACATCATTCTCATCCATTTTAAAGTCATTTAGTATTTCAACACATCATGCAATCTACAACTTCTGGCACGACGCGTTTGGCCAAGGGACATTTGAAGGAAAATGGAGGAAAATCATTTTTACAAAGAGCGCAATTCACCAAAATACACAAAGATATTCCAAGATAATTCTGCGTCGTTAATCTTCCATCCCTGATCATAGTTGAAGAATGGGTCAAACTGTGAGAATAATTAATAATAAAAAATTCTAAAGTGGAATTTGAGGTTAGACTGTCAAGATTTCAGATGTTTTGACCTGTTTTTTTTTTTGGCTCATATCTGGTTTATCCAAGTAAAATGTGAACTGCCACAAAGTTCTACATCCTCTGTCTCAGCATAAATGAAAGTAGAATTACTTTTTCACACTGGCTTCAGAAAGTGGTGCCATTATTCAAGACGTGATAGTTGTCAGATGAAAGAACTTTAAGCCAAGATTAATATGGCAACTTTGTGGAGCCTAACCCTGACAAATAATGATAAGGTTCAACACTTGTGGGTGATAAGTTTGAACAATTTCCAAAAACAGTGAATCTCCCGTAGTGTTATATAGACCCCTGCTTCCTCAGCCTTCGATGCTTTCCTGAAACTATAATTTTCTCCACATTCTCACCTGTTCACTAAAGCACCATCTCCTCCACCACTCTGCGAGCTGAGGGGTCCATTTCCTCTCTGACCAGCGTGAGGCAGCGGCGAGCCAGAGCCTGCTGTCGGGCGTCTTCTTGGACCATCAGCTCTCCGTACAGATACACTCCCATCGCCTGCAGAGATGGACAGCATACAGTTACATTTACTGGAAGGTACTGGAAATAGCCTGATCTCTTATTGTTTCAAAAAGGCAATGGAATCATGATTGAACCTGGGTTGGCAGTGCTTTAACCTGCAGATAGAGGACACATGCCGTATGTTTCGGACTATAAGTCGCACTTCTTTTCATGGTTTGGGTGGTCCTGTGACTTATACTCCAGTGCAACTTATATATTAAAATTTTTCAAACTGACAGACTGACTGTCTTGTGTGTCAGTATCTGCTACTTCTAATACTCCTGTATCACTGTCACTTTGCTCTCTACTGTGCATGTCTCCTGCAGAAAAAGCTGCTGTTCTGCTGCAAGTAGTGAGATATTCAGGAGGAAACAGTAATCGAGCAGCACAAAGAAAGTTTGGAGTGAGCAAGAAATGGGTGCACCATGTAACTTTCCTGGAAGTCATTGGATGGATCGACAAAGCCTGGACTTCAGTGGCAACCGAAACCATCCTGTCGGGATTCAGAAAGGTCGGAGTAATTCTAACTGGAACTGATGCTGAGTCTGACAAAAGCTAAGCAGAAGAGGAAGCGGTGCCCCGTTTACCACCGGTTTAGCAGTCACGGAGTTGCTCAGAAGTGACACAGACTATGAAGAATTCAATGGATTTAGTGATTTGAAGTGAGATGAAGAGTTTGGTAAACTTATGTTATGTTGTTTATGCTCTAGTTATCTGAATAACTGTTCATATGTGACGTTAACATATCAGACACCTATTCAGCCTGTTGTTCTCTGTTCTATTGTTATTACTATAACTTGCCTTTCATGATAAAATGTTGGTTCCTGGTCTCTGATTTTATAAAATAAATTTCCCCCGGTGCGACTTATATGTTTTTTCTTCTTCATTACCCATTTTTTGGCTGGTACAACTTATTCTCCGGAGCAATTTATAGTCCAAAAAAATACGGTTCTAGTTTTTCTCATTCTCAATTTATGGACAGGCCTCAGGTGAAAGCTCAGGACCCACTTTAGGTAATGACCATTCAGATCAGAGAGAGGCATTTCAGGATTTCAGCACTGAAACTGGCAACTCAAATGAAAGACTCAAGTGAGGCTCCTTCTGCTTATGAACTATGAATGGAAAAGCAATTAAAATCCCAAATTATAACATAAATAACCTTGTCCAATGTTTTTTTTAACTAAGAAAAACTGTTGCATACTTTCTATAATACTCAAATAGTATATATATTTACTCAAATTGTTATATACTGTTTATACCATATACTTTTTGTTTTATTTACAATTCCCAGTGTGAGTGCAGTCTTATGTGACAAAAGCTTTATGTTGACAATATGAAATCTTTAGATCATCATCTTATCTGCTCTTTCAAATATAATTTCATTTTTTTCTTATACTTTATTACAGAGGTCACCAAACTTTTTTCTCTGGGGGCTGCATTATCGCTCCTGACTGTGATGGGGGCCGGGGTCAGGTCGGCCGTATAACAGAATTGTACGACCCCGACGACGCAGATTATATTCTTTGAAAATCGCCACACTTTCTTTACATATCAGATAAATTACACGGTCCTTACACTGAACAAAAAAAAAAAATCTGTCGTCCACTGTTCTTTGAAAACTCGGCACTCTCTGTCAAGCCATTTTGCCGGCTTTAACTCGACTACGGAACTCTACCCATGTGTCGACTGTCACTGTTTGGTCTCGAACTTGTCTGGTGATGAAAATTTGGTGGCAAAATCTGCAGCAAATGTAAATACTTCATATAATTATTTAACTACAAATATAAATAGTTCATATAAATATAATTTTAATTGAAAAAATCAACTAAATACAAGATACAGATGCGTTATAATTTGCCAAAAAGTAATTTAAAAAAAAAAACAGGCCATGACGACTTTTGAGGATTGCCTCATAGTGCCAGTTCCAAGTGCCAAGTGGTGGGAGGCAGAGGGGCTGGGGGGCCGGTCAAAGGGATGTGGCGGGCCGCAGTCAGCCCGTGGGCCTTAATTTGTGGACCTTTGCTTTATTATGTTCATCAGACCCATTTACCCTTAATAGAGCGAAATGCAGCTCCCTACATTTTTTCTTCTACTTGAGTAATGACATACAGTTAGGCTAATGTTACCTGCGTACAATTTGGGTCTATTTTCCACCTTTTACTGCCATGACAAAACAAATTCACATTTTTATTGCTGTATAAATCCCTGGTGCATAAATCATTTTGTGAGCGTTTACCTGGTCATGAATGAGGAAGTGCTCCACATCTCTGTACGCCTGAGAGAAGCCGTGTTTCACAACCAGCTCACACCAGCGATGTCTGACCTGATGGACCAAAACAGAGAGAAAACAGCATTACAATCAGATAAAAATGTATTCTCACAATAATAGGATTTGTACAATGGGATAGGTCATCACGGTGGACAGGGACAAATGGAGGTTTGCAAATAAACACATTCACATAAACAAATGAGAATCTGACAAATATGAAAAACTGAAATTAATAAAACATGTGTGGTGTTGTTGAATAAGAAATGCGTGTTACTGGCACTTTAAAATAATGAACTGTTTGACCATTACCACTGATTAAAAGGTATATTTAAAGATGCATTATATAAGTTTTCTGGTTGGGGGTCTGCCTCTTGCTTGTCTCCATGGTGATGTTATTGCTTTGGCTTGGGCTGTGCATCTTGTATTTAATTCTATAATTATGTGTTTTTATCTGTTTAAAAATCCTTGAAAAACATGCTTTCTTACTGTGAGATCTGATTTGTAAATTGGTTTGGTTTGTCTCCATGAAGATGAATAAATTTAATGCCGTACTGTGGAAAATTCTTGACAATGCAATAACATCTTCTTTAAGACTAGCAAGATGTGAATCTGAATATAATATAATTGTAATATATATAATATAATACAATATAATATAATATAATATAATACAATATAATATTTAATCTGATTTATGGTAAATGGTGTTAGTTAAGTTAAAATAGCACTAATTTTAAAAAGTGTATTTCATTTAGCAATTAAAAAATATTTATTTATGCATTAAAATTCAATACAAATAATAAATATTACATTCATTTCATATTTAGTCATTTAAAATTTTATAAATTACACAATTATACAAAATATAAATAATTGATCAAATGTTACATAATTTAAAATTGTAATCTGAGTTCATCTGTAAAAGGTTAATAATTAAAGTATATACATTCAAATGCAAATTGATTCAATTACTAACAAAAATATAAAATGTAAATTTAATTTAATTGTTACACATATTTATTTACTTTAAAGGTTTTTGACCTGCTGCTGCTACAGCTACTACTAATACTACTACTACTACTACTACTACTATTGCTGAAGAAACTGAACAATTTCAATAAAAATCTTCACGCTGAGTTAATCCTTGTGTCTGTTTTCCTGTTTTTTCAAGTTGGACCTGCTTTCTTTAATTAAAGACTTGACACCCTTGACAGAAGTTACACAGTAAGTCTTTAAATAATGCAAAGGAAAGGGCAGTCACCAACTCATGGGCATTTGTGAAGACATTTCCCCATTCAAAAGATATAATGTTTTAATTTAAATTACTTAAAAGTGCACCGTGTAACTTTTATGGTGGAGGGTCCATCACATGCTTGTCTCCATGGAGATGTTATTGCTTTGAGTTGAATGCTCCACTGCATGGCGTTAAACTACCCATGTTGTCTTTACTCAATTACTTTCGACTTTTATTAAAAAACATGGATTCTTACTGTGCATGGGCTTGCCTCTCCACAAACCTTATCCAGTAAAACCTTCATGTTAGAGGAGCATATGACAGACCCTCAACCAGGAAAGTTACGCAGTGCACCTGTAATTGCTATGACGATGGAGTACAACAACCACATCTTGAAACCCATGATTAACTTTTTGCCTACACGTAGTTGTTGACAGAGACTATGTTATTGCATTTTAATCCTTGTTGGTGGATACCTTTTTAAATCAATACCCAAATATCCTGAGGCAGCATTTGACTTTCAGCTCTCACAAGAGTCGGTAGGAGTGCACTGTATCGAGTGTCTGTGTAGCATACTAAAAAATGAAAAATAACACTAGCTGCATGGACAATTAGCTACGGTGGCAGTGGTTAATTGGTTAGAGCAGTGCAGCGGTTCTCAAAATAATCACACAAGTACCACCTATGATAATATCTGGCTTTCTGAGTACCACCAGATCTAAACCAGGACTTTATCAGGTCTAAATCAGAGCGAAAACAGGTCTATACTGAGACTAAACCAGGTCTAAAACAAAAATAAACCATTGATAAGGTATTTCTATGATTAACCCATGGGAAGTCTCACAATCTACCACCAGAAGTCTGAGAAAGATCGGGTTAGAGTACACAAAACTAAAGGTGAGTGGTTTGATACCAGTTGAGTATCAAAGAGTAAACACTTCTGTTGTGTAATCGGGCAAGACACTTCACCCACTTTGCCTATGTAGGAAAGATGACGTATTGTGCTTGTGTCTGCTATATGGCTATAATCTATGACAGTTGTGAATTATTATATCGTAAATTGGATGTTTTAAATCGCAATATTGCTCTAAAATAACTTAAGACAACAAGGGCCAATCCCATTTCTAATTTCTACCCCTAGCCCTTGCCCCTTGAAACTGAGCAACAAGGGGTAGGGGTTGAAAGTAAACCCCTACGAACTGGGACACCCCTTCAACAATCAGACGTCGTCAATAGTCTCCCCCTGCTTTTACGTAAGCAGACGCGTCGAGCTTTTGCCAGAAATCCAACATGCTGTTTACAGTTTGTGAACTTCTTTGGCCTCTGTGGTCATGGTAGCAGCCATCTTGCCAGTGATTCACAAGGCATTCTGGGAAATTGCTCACACCCCTCGGTTTGGAGAGTGCCTCTGAAAAATCACGGTCACGGTAACTACGACACCCCTACCCCTACACGTGAATATGCAAAACTGAGGGGTTGGGGAAAGTGGCATGGCCAAGGGGTGTAATGGGATTCAGCCCAAGTCCACTGACTTCCACTTGAAATGTGGTGCCCAATGTCTCTGTAAACATCAACACAACAAAGAGTCTCCTATGGATAGCTGCACATCATTAGCCAGGCTGGCGCCACCTAGTGCCTCCATTCAATTTCATTTCATTCCAATGACTACGTCAGGAATTGGAATACACTAGACGGTTCGCAAAAACCCTGCAAGTGCAAGTTTGGGCACAAGCCAATCAGTGAAGAGCCATACATTCTGTGTTGGCAACGATTTGAGATCGAGGATTTAAAGCTGGAACAGAGAGGATGTCTGGTGAATTTTATCAAGGGGAAAGACGTTATTGCTCTTCTTCCTACGGGATTTGGGAAAAGCTTAATATACCAGTTAGCCTCATTAGCAGCACATTACATACATCACGACCAAATAGCAGCAATTGGTTAAATGAAAAAAAAAATAGCCGCCAACTCTCAAGTGGACGAATCCTAATGCTGCGAGGTCAGACGGTTTCTACAAAGTGAAACCATTTGATGAATCAGGCTAGTGAAAATGGAAGTTGACGAACAGTATGGCACCTTGAAAATAATAGAAACAACTATAACATGTTTAAAAGCTCTGAACAGTCAATTTTGCATGATGAGGTCTGCTTTAGTGCAGTGTATGAGTAAATGATTGTGGTTGGAGCGGCTCGAGGCACAAACATACACAGTCATGCTTCCGTCAGTCTACCCCAGGGCAGCTGTGGCTATGGAATTATCTTACCACAAAGTATAGGGAGTGAATAATAATGCATGAAATTGTAATGCAACTTTGAGCATCTGGAATAACTACTGTGCCAAGTGTCCATGATTCACAAAATCTGCCATTTTAATAGCAACAGTACAAAATGTCCGTAGAAATGCATGAGCCAAAATATGAAATACTAAACAAAATTTGAACAACACGACTGTACAGTGTCACGCAAAACAGATTTAATATACTCAGCATCTTAAAACCTCCACTGGTTTAACGTTAGGCTGACTGAAAATTCCTTCATGTGTGACGGCACAGTCCCGAACTCTATAAAAGACTAATTAAGATTCATTATAATTACTTAAGGGTAGCCAATAATGAAGCTTAGAAACTGTGTACTCAGCTGGTATTGTGAAAAGAAATGCTCAGACTACAGCCAGTACAATAACTATAGTATGTCCAGAGTGTGTATTCGCGGCGTGTACATGAGTGAAAGCTGATGCCCGGCCTTTCTTCTCTGGGATCAATAGGAGCTCTGTTGCCGCGGTTACAGCCCAGATCAGAGCCGTGTCCCCGCCTCGGCCATCATCCTCCTGCACGGTGCGTTCAGGAGCGAGTACGAAAGGGGAGCGCCGCAGAAATCCACACAAGGACCTGTCTAAGTACTGTCACTAGACTCCAAAGCACCATAGTTACCTTGGACTTTTTTTTTTTTTTTTTCCTAGTCTGTCCCTTCAGTATCCCACATGTATGCTGTATCCATGGCAACAACAGGGTTAAATTTGTACTAGATTAAAGGGCGTATATTATATTATTTTCTGAACAACGTTATAATAATGTTGTTTCCTCATTAAAACATACGCGGAGCTGTGTTTCGTTTCATTCACACATGTTTAACACGCAAATTTAGCCCTGAAATTCCCAATCTCTACTGAACAAAATGTAAAAGGATAGTCATTAACTTGAAATGACATCACAAGGTGGAGCAGAGCATTATGAGTTTAGTTTAATAATATAATCTCCTCTTAAAGGATTACTCAAACATGTGTGAATGAAACAGCTATGTTTTTGATAACAACATGGATTAAAACATGGATTTAAATATTTTTTGTACAACCTTTAAAGGTTAAGCCAAATAATTGTCATACTAATTTATTCATCAAAAATCTGTAATACATTTTGTTGATCAAAATCACGAAATTATAATTGTTATACTGTGCAGCAGATCAACTAATGGCCGCTGAGCTCTACCAGTATTTCTAGGATGAAACATGAACAATTTGAATCATTTTCTCCAATAACTTTAGACGCAGTTACTGTCTCTTTATACTGCTCCGCTCTTCATAAGAATAGCATCATAAAAATATTATCTATAGCAAAGTTTGTAGACACCCACAGTCCTGTTTCATACCATAAACCTGTAACATGGCACAGGAGTCATATTTTATGCAGTGCCCACTTCTTCTAAAACAGAGGCTTTTAAAATGTTCACACCAAGTAATACCAAAGAAATGATTTGGCTTTCAAAATAGTCCCAGATCTAAACCAGGTCTAAACCAGGACTTTTCCAGGTCTAATCTAGGGCTAAAC